TGCAACAAAAAATCACGCTTTTAATGTTGAACAGTTTTCAGTTGCAATCGATGCCAGAAATTAACCAAAAACTTGTCACGAAGCAAATCCTAACCTAATTTTTGCAAATAACTCCACTAAGAACAGGTGCATTTGCTATCAATTGAGCCCCAAGCCGACAGACCAACCTCAAAAAAATAAAATAAAAAGCCCCATCGAAAAAGGCACCAACTTGGCGAATGCGCCCCAAAAAAAACCCCGACTGGTGGCAGCCTTGAAAGCTGCTGGCCGAAGGGCCTGCAGGGCGGCGAGCGTGCGCACGCCGCCCAGGGCTGAGCGCTCGCGCGCACAGCGTTGCCAAGCGCCCCCTTTCGCCCCGACTATCGCCCCACTCACACCCGCCAGCCCCACAGGGGCAACGTTTCCAGGGCGGGGGGCGTTTGGCAACAGTCCAACAGCCCGGCAGAGCAACTGGGGGGGGGAAGCCGATCCAGACGATTGGGAAATCGGGCCCATTTTCCGCAAAATTCGAGGAAATCGCGCATTGTGTGGCGTCGCTGTGCGCCCTTTTCCAGCCGGCCATCCAGGCCGACATCGTTGCCCATTCAATAATTCGGGCTGTGTACTACGAGGGGGCGGCGCGTCGATTCGACATTATCGGACATGTTTCGGACCGCGTTCTGATTGATCATCATCAGTGCAGACAGTTGCTTGCCAGCCCGATCCTGAGCGGACCGCGCTTCTCCTCCACACTCAACCGTATCGATTTAATAGCAGGCAATCGAGTGGTTTTGAGGCGAGTGTTTCCTCCTCCTGCGACTCGGCGCTGAAAATGCCTCAAATCCTCAAAGCCTGCTGGCAGCGGACGCTTTTGAGGACGGCGGCCTGGACGAGATGATCATGATTCTAATCGGGTAAGTCGTGAGCGCAGCGCACTCCTCCCTGCTCCTCCAAGCCTCAAACGTTCCGGGTTTGAGGGCCGATTTAGGGCGAGCAGCGGGGACAGAATCGGGGACGTTTTAAGTCGATTTGTCCCGGAATTAGGCCATCTTTGCGTCCAGTGCTGTCCTATTTTCGCCCAAAATTCATGGCAGTGGCGCGTTTTTTTTGCTTCCTGCCAAACGGGGGCTAAACTCGCTAGGCTTATGGCGGGTACGCCACTGGATCGAGCAATTTTTGCGCTTTCTGGCGCCCCAAGGCCGTTGCAGTGGCGTGCCGGGGCGAATTTTGGCGATTTTTTTAAAAACATCCATGCAATAATCACTCTCCGATGTTCAGAATTTAATTTCGCAAAAACGGCTCCCGATACAAACATGCCCGGCACGCCGCTGGATAGAGCGCACTTTGGCCTTCCAGAGCCGAAAACTTCACTCGAATAGAGATTTTAGGCGAATTTTGGCAAATTTTCAAATTCCGAATG